ACTTTAGGTATTCAGTTAAGCTGAGGATTGTATGCACCTTGGCAAACGTAGAGCACTAGTTGGCTGAAAACAATGAGCTATCAAGAAGATGACCTGCAGGAGAAGCAGAAACGTATTGTTACTTCCGGCACATTTCGAAGTTTCCAAAATGGCGCCAACGTGAGCATATTTGACCGATTCTGCGAAAATTCCTTGACAGACTCGTTTGGGAAGGGGCAACGCCCTGCACGGCGAAGCAAAACAAACGAGAAAAGAATCGCTAGGACCTGAGAAAGTTTCTAGTTTCCGCAAAAAGCCATTGTCCACAGACCTGCTGGACAGGTCTCCGGAGGGGGTGGCTTAACCGCTTGACCTTCAACCGCGCCTTGGAAAGCCGATTTCCGCGGCAGGCCGTACTTGGTTTCATTGCTTCGTTGCACCCTCGGGGAAGCCGAGAGGCTTTGCAGTCGACCTTCGATTCCCCGACCACTTCCTTCCTCGAGCGCGCACTACAATGTGTCCTCGGAGGGACTACAATCGAACGCCAGACGAACCTTCCTTCATCCAGACGACCAGACCCGCGGAGAAGTCGTCGACGCGAACCAATTAGGCCAAGGACGGAGCGTGAGTAGCTACAAGTGCAGCTGCTAAACAAGCTACAAAGAAACGCTACTTCAGACATTTTGGTTCTTCAAAAGGTTGCTGCCAGTTATTTAAAGCTGTATGCGAAATCGCAAAACACGCCTCCAAAAATGTTTAAAAAATAAAAACAAAAGCCTGCGATAGAGTAAAACGATTACGCAGGGGCATCTGGACACCACACATAATTAGCCCCAGAAGTCTCATATTCGAATCGTAGCGAACGTCATCTGCGTCCGCTCTGCATCAAGGGCCAAAATGGAGGCACCCTGATGTCGATACCTGAAGCGCAGCTTATTCAGGTACAGTCACGAACGAGGACATCGTCACCATCCAGGACGCCAACAAAAGTTCGAGACGCAGTTTCCATCATTTTACATAACGCCCTCTCCCCTCTGTAACGCCTTATGGCCCCTGAGGGTATCGTAAATACATACATAAGTAAATAAATATGAAGAAGCCTCGGCGAGCGCGTGTCTAACACGGCCTGCCGCGCAGTCTACCGGGAGAAAGCTCTAACAATATGAAGGCACTCCAGCGGCTGCTCCGTTTTTTGTTGTCACTCCTCGCTTGACCAGGTGTCACCGAGCTAATGCTCATTTCCGCCACAAAAGTTAAAATGGAGCGTTTCTGAGTCTACCCGATCGGAAGGTTGAGCGATCAGTTTTTTTTTGCGTTTTATACTAAGTTCGCGGGATACCTGCAAATACACGAAATTTTTTTTTTTTTTTTTAACGAGCACAATTATTTCTTGGTTTTATCTCAGTAATTGTTTGCCGACCAAGTGGGGAGTGGCGACAAAAGCCGAACAGCCGCTCATTCACACAATAGCCTCCACGACAACTCGTCCTTCTTCCGCTAAATAGCACTGGAGGTCTCCTGAGCCACGCGCCCGCCCGGGCTTTTTTGTATAGAGTCCTGGACTGTACAAGCAGTTACTTCTATCGCTCGGGCTGTACACTCGGGCATCCATGGAGATATTGCAAATAAAGGCGGCCACTGGCACCGGATCTATGGAACGGTTGCTGCGACGATCCAGGACAAGCCTGACACTTCGACTTCCCGTTTACTGCCGAACGCGGCAAATACATATTGTTTCCCCCAGCATACATGCGGAACTCAGCATCAGGGTGGAGCTGGCATGTCTTTGGCTAGCTGGGTTAAGCCGATGCCCGATCCAAGGGTTCGGCCGTATCCATCATTCCTTTCTCTATAAAACATCGCTGTCTTCTGTCCCGACAAACTCTGCTAATAATTGCGCTATCAAATACAACTGAAATTTCCCATGACCCGAAGGCTGAATTCTATGACAAGTGGAGTGGATGAACGGGATTCGACGGTATTATTCACTTTAAATATATTACTTCGCCACTGCTGCGCAAAATATTCAAGAACATAAGATTTCTGCGAAACTGTACGACAATGTATGCTTTTGCAACGTACGCAGAGTACGTGTGATGACTGTCGAGACCTTTGTCTGCAATTCAGCATTCAAATGTGAGCTGATTTCTGGAGATTTTTAGTCGAAGCGTTTGACCCTCTCGCGGAAACATTCGAGTGATCAGACCGTTGGCCATCTGAATGTTTCGGCAATTTGCTTATCAAGCATCTCATAACCTCTAACAATAGACCCTTTCCGAAATTCAGCGCCATCTGGTGGCTGCAATGGCGGTTTAACTTTTGCCATACGAATGGCGGCAATGAACCCGTAGCCTGCAGTATTTTATCGGGCACCGTCACCTTTGCATGTCAACGGCAGACGAGAATAAACTTTTCGCTATACAGGTTTTTCTGAATCATCTCATCCAGTCTCGATTCCCACAACGATGCAACCAGTCAGAACGAAGCGCCAACCCAGCCAGACGCCTTGATAAAGTTCTATAAGTCAAGGGGTTTCGAAGTCGATTTTGTGCCACAAACAGGTTCACTGGGCTCGAATTACAGAAATGAACACTTACGCAGCGCTTGCATTCAATTCCGGTTTCGCAACGTGCTAACGTCTAGAATGTATAGGCCTCGAATCCTCAGCTTAGGAGTATCTTCAACATGTTCCTTCATCAGTAAATAGAAAGCCGCCATTGGTATGGCACATATGCCATTTTTCCGATGATGATGATAGTGATCAAAGTGGCCAGAGTGAATTTCGGGAAGGGTCTATTGAAGAAACGCCGCCGAAAGCTTCGCACTTAAACTTCCTCTTTCTGGAGGTACGATTGTACAAATACTGCGCTGAGGACCATGACTCCCTCGCTTAATACTAATAACAAACGCGCATGTAAATTTACTACGTGATTTATTATTATTACTAAAATATAAAGAAACTTTAAACAAATTTCGGAAACTGTGCTTTTCGAAATTCCAGTAGATTTGAACATGATTGTTTCGAGAGCAGTTTCGCATTGCCGTTAGAATCATACGCCTCATACGTTAAGTACTGAGGGGGAAAAAAAAAGACAGAAACAAAGAAGCTAACCGAACCCAACGCTAGTATGCGAACGAGGAAAAGCAAAAAGCCGTAAGTGGATGAAACTAGCCAAGCTGCAGAGCGAATGTTCGCTACCAGGAAAGCGAAAATTGCTCTAGCATGTCTGGCTGGGAGTTGCGGGGATTTACATTGCAGATTAAGTTCGCGTTCACCGTTTGGTTAAGCTGCGATAAAAACGTGGACGCGGGAAGAAAAAAAAATGTTTAGGGGTCGCATAGCGGCAAGAAGACGAAAGGAAAGCAACCAGGGAGCTGTGTACGCTGGAATCGCGGGCGCGTGGAGTCCATTTTCTTCCTCCCGCGTGCTCGGGTTAAGTCGCCGCTCCTGTCACCCTGTTCGTTAACTCGTCGACGTTGATGCGCTGCGTGATGCCGCATTCCGGCCCTGGCCACACTCACTCACCACGGGCCTGCGCGAATGCCCTGGCGAGCCTAGGCGGTCCTTTTTGTGCCTTCTTTGTACTTGGTTTCGTTTGCGTTGCGGGAGGTTACGGACGGCCTCCAGTCTGAATGTTCCGGTACACCCCGTCTGCGCGAGCGAAAGTTCGCCAGCCGGACGCTGCATAGAGTCTCGCAGAGCAACGAGGGTCACCCACCAACGTGGTCAAGTTGGTATCGTATTTCCTCCAAATGAAAAGAAAAAAAATAGGAGCCACAGAGGATAAAAACACGCCATCCACCGTTTCTATCAAGCACACTGATGACACGGCCCACTGATAAGTGAGATACACTCGAGACCGGTTAATAGGGAGCCCGTTACTGTGGATCACCCGCAATATGTACATAGGTTTCGAGCTAAAATTGGGTGAATACGTGCCTCTTATATGTCTCGTTACTGTGGATGTCTCACTTTATGGACAATTTGTGGGTGGAATGAACAAGTCAAGTAGAGAGACACTACTGTACATGGATTTGAATAGTAGAGAGTTTTAAAGGACCGTTTTTGCGCACTCGATGGATACAGTACGATGGTCCCTCAAGTAAGAACTGCCCATATATGCGAGTCTTCTGTGGCAGCGCATGCGCAGTTGGTACCGGAGGGCCCATAGTACCGTATCAGATCTGCAAAAACGGTTCCCTAAAAGTCTATATTAAAGAAAGTTAAACGTAAAATACAGTAAAAGTAAAATACAGTAAAACGATTGCAAGTCGGACGACCATAGAATATTATACGAATTTTGAGAGTGAACTTATCTCAAATATTCTGCTGCAGATGCGCTGCCAGTGTGTTCTCGAACAAATAAGAACATTCTAAAGTATAAAAAAGTATTAAATTTATTTTCGGTTGTTATTAACTAGAAGAGAAAATTAATAACTGCGTCTATTATTTTTGTCTTACCCTCGTCGTTTGCGTTCGCAGTAGGGTCTGCATGTACTTGCGCAATACAAAAATAACTTATGGTGTTTCCGGTAAACACGTACACTTCGAATGATATTTTTATTTTGGCGTCATCCTTTTTTTTAATTTTTTTTATTAAGGTTGTCATAATCGTAGTTATCCATCACAGACTGAACAGCGTATGGCGCGTGTGTCTAAGAGTAGTCCCGCCCCATTCCCCTAGGTGGCGCTGAGAGCGCTTCGAACACAGTGCAAACAGCTGCTTGTCGTGCTAACAAGCTTTCAGGCTGGAAGACTGGCAGTTCAAACACATACATCGGTAAATTTGAAAACCTGAATGTTTTTTTTTTTTTTTTTTTTTTTTTTTTTTTATAGGAAGTTAACTTTATTTAGTTTGTTTTTGTTAGACTGACAGCCTTACGGCCCAAGTCGACAAAGCTGGGATTGAGAAGTTAAAAAAAAAAAAGGCATGCAGCACTAAACTTATGCAAACTGCATAAATAAGATTGCCGACGAACCCCACATCGCTTTTCCTCCGCAATATGGATGGGCAGCCTACCTTTGAAAATGGAAGAGCTGGACGCTCCTCCAAGTCGGCACCTGTCGCGTTTCCTTGGATTAATCCGTCAGGAATCCTCGCCGGATTTGAGCTTACGGCTGGCACACACGGAACCAGCAATGGCGTCCACCAGAAACACACACACCGGAGGAACACTAAGGAAAGCGACAACGCTTGCGGTCTGTCGCGACATGCACGAAGTTTTCCGCACAGCGGGAGAACAACCGTTTGAAGAATCAGCCGCAGGCGCACAAACCGGAGTCACACACGCGTCGGAGACGCGGACGGCGACGCAAACGCGGCACCGACACAGGGCGAAGCAGACGACGTTTCGGTTGCCTGCGGAGCCGGGCGACGAACACACAGCCTGCCTTCGGCGAGTTGGCTGGCCGACTGAAACCCGCGCTCCCGATCTCCCACGCCTCCGTTTCTTTCTCCGTCACGTGGAGGAGGAGAAAGCACGTGACCCAGTAGCGCCGACGTCGCGATACGTCACGCGTGACGTCACGAAGAGAGGAGAGGGGTGAAAAAGGGGGAAGGAGGAAGCTTCGTACCACTTTCAGGTGGGCGAACCGTTGGGCTGCCTTTTACGATGTGCGTTTGATTTTTATTTCCTTGAAGGTAGATTCTTTCTTTGTTCTGTCTGCGCACGACCGTGCACGTTATGTCGTCTGCGGATGAAACCGAACGAGGTGGGATGACGATCATTTCCTGTCGTGTGCTAAACGATGTCAGATTTATGTAGGGTGTTTGTGCCTAACCATAAACTGAACAAATAAGCGTCTGGTGAATTAAATCTTTTCTGGCTTTATACTGCGGAACTCCTTTCTTTAATTAAAGCAACTACAGCTGCATTATATTATTTTTTCCTTTGAAACGTTTTGTTGCGTTTATTCAGAATAGATGTTTAAAAGAAAAACTGAGGTGAATTGAGGTTCAAGAAAAATTAGAGTTGAGATATCATAGCGACCGTCTTGTCTTGCAAATGCGAGCCTTCCTTGCATGTTATGAATATGTATGAATTTATCGCGAAACTTAATATTGCGAAATATATTCGAAGATAATCTTAAACTATAATTTAACTGGAAAGTGTCTTATATATTACATACATATCTGTCTGACGCAGGCCTAACTGATTGTGAGTCGACAAAGGTCGACTCACTAAATGCTTTATAACTCCAACAACGCTTCGAAGTGCGACTTCATTACTTTATATATATATATATATATATATATAAGCGCAACGCTGTAGCAAGTGATTTTTTTTATATTGTTTCATGTATAGGTGTGTGTAAAATTTACTACACATTTCTAATATGTCATATCTAATGAACACAGTAAGTTAATTTACAATGAGATTATTAAATACACACTGCGTTATCCTTGTCCCGACATACTTATATATTCATTTGACGCAAGTCAGTCTGCAATCCCGGTGTGTATGTACATTAAAAAGGGCGGTTCCGCTGGACATTCTCTAGGAAAGTAATCGAAATATATTTTATCTTTCATGGCCTCTCAACAATGTAAAATATTTACGAGTTCATACATTCCCGAGAGCGGTATGAATATCGCTATTTCGCATTCAATCAACACGCCGGTATGCTCGTCATTTTGTAATAAAAAGGAAAACGTTTGCTCCCTGTAGCAAACGAAGCAAAAACAAACCAGAACAAAATATTCCTCGTCACCTTCCCAGTCATGAAAATATGTGCAGCTGACGGGTTGCACAATACTCCCAGGCAATAAACTCGTCGTCCCGAACATTTCTTTTTTTTACACATTTAGTTTTTGTTGATTTTCAGTCCGTGCCACCGCTAGAACTCGTTCAGTCTGACGACTGCGGAAGCATTCCACCTCTCGCGATCGGGTTGTGGACAGTAGGCACACAGGGTTGTAAACACAGTTGCACGCACGACCGAGTATCTTGTACGTCGGGCACACGGGATCCATCACCAAGCGATAGGTAGCGAAAGGGTTAAAGCAAAGAACCGTTCACCCAAAATCTGGGACTGGTTCTGCTCCTTCGTTAAATCGTGTCGCAGTGCTCTCAGCTTTACACAAGGTGCCTCAAACATAAAAAAAAGAGCATGCAATATAATAAGCCAGAGAAGTAAAATAATAAAGCTCCTGCCCCGTTTTGACGTGACAACAGCATAGATTAGCGGTCATAAAGATTAGTTCCGTCTCAGGTAGACTGCTTCCGGATCTTGACTTCATTAAGCGAAGAAGACGCCGTCTTTTTCTTTCCTTTTATTTTCCCCTGCCGTCCCTCAACTTCTGCGCAGACATTAAAATAATAATAATAAAAAATATATTTTCTTTGTTTTTCTTGTCGAGCGTTTTTCAGCTCGTGTTCGTGAATAAGGTTCGCGTCTCGTCGACTCTCTCAAAATATGTCACGCTCAGGCAGGTACAGGAACGCTGCAGCGCGCAGCTCTTGAAGTTGCTACTCCGTCTACATTCCTAGCGCCCGCGCGGTTTCCTATAGCCACTGTGGTATGGCATTCGACGAGAACTGTTTTCATTTTCTATTCGCCTTGTGTACGGACCCGAACGGAGTTCTTGATTGCTTCGAAATAATTGACATAATATAAAAATAAGAGACGCAAAATAAACAACGAAGGAAGGAGATTCCTAACGACGCGGAAATAACTTCGCCTTTCATATTCTTTTTTTATTTGGTCCAGTAGCCGATCGTTTTTATCCTCGACTGGGTCAGCACGGACTTCGCTTATTCGCTATTGTTTGCCGGTGCGCCAACTCGCGCTTTCATTTTTTCTTTTTTTAAGGAGCAGTTTGAAATTTTTGTGAGGCATCGATGCGCTCAATGGCCTCGGAATTGGTTTGGGAATATTAATTGATTCCAGCTTAAAGAAAGCAATGAGTTTCTAAGTTTAGAGCGCCGGTTTGGGCCTTCTTTGAAGGCAACCAAATTACTCTATCCCTAGTCATATAATCTTGAGGAAGTAATTCTGCTTCGCGTGCCTACCGGGTTGTTCTTCGCAACTCCGATCGAATTGCAGATTGTTTTCCTGGCCAATATGCTACCTTCAGAAGATCGTGGCCTCTTTCTGTATATATACATATAAATTGACCCTTCATTGCTACTACAACTTATAGAAAGCAAGAGAGAATAAGAAAAAAACGTTTAGAAAGTGTTAGGAAGAGGAACGAATTTTTTTATAAGGGGATAACTGACCATACTACTGTATGTTTACTTCGCAATTTTGTCTGGATACTAAAGGGAAGATAGTTTTGTTTGTGCAATAACAATTATTTTGTCAAGAAATGTCCCGTCTCATTTATGTAGCACAGAGATTTCGATAGCCTAACCGCCTATTTCCGTATTGTGGTGCTGCTTTCGTTGAACCCTGTTTTGGTAGCAAGTCGTTTGTTCTCCGAGTTTGGTCAGGACTCGTTCGTTGAGGAAAGCTTCGCAGATCACATCCGTCAGCTTCGTCTATTTTCTACGCGTCGATGACGTTCACCGGCGAGATCTCAATAATGGCTAAAATAATTAATTTGTCAACAGTGTTGTAAACAAAAAGCTTTACATTTTTTTTTTATTAAGTGAATGTTGATAAAGGAAGTGAGTATTTGAAAACAAGCATTCATTATTACCAAACGATCGCCTGATCTACCCGAGTTATCCCGAGGCACGAGATAGGAAGGGTTAATTATTGCCAGAACTGGCAAGGATCTTATTTTTCTTACCAATGTATGTGTAGCTGCGTTAACATTTTCAGCCGTGAGCTGGGAGGAACTGTCTAAGAGTGAAGTGCTCGCTTCTCTCGCCCGCCAATGCCTTTCGAAGTTTCATCTCAGCAATGAACTGATAAAATTGTTTTAGTGGACCAGCTACGTGTGGAACTGAACGGCAGTGCCCGCTGAGTGGGCATGGAAACAGCTTAGGAATGCATCGTTCTAACGCTGTGTGCATCCTTGTGCAGATACTGGCATCGCTGTTCTTCCTGCGGCGCTGGTCACCGTTACTTCAACCAGTCATCGTCACCCCGTCAGCAAATAATCAAGTGTTGCTTGGCTTTCCGGACAACATCGTCGGCGGGCCCTTCGGTGCTCCCGCGGATTGGCCGCAACCGCAGCGTGTCTTCACTCCGTTCGAGAGGGTTTACGCATCGACATCGACATCGTCACTCACGGATGGCCTGGCTTTAAAACCGTGGAGCCCCCTTGGATGCTTCAGTGGGCATGGAAACAGCTTAGGAATGCATCGTTCTAACGCTGTGTGCATCCTTGTGCAGATACTGGCATCGCTGTTCTTCCTGCGGCGCTGGTCACCGTTACTTCAACCAGTCATCGTCACCCCGTCAGCAAATAATCAAGTGTTGCTTGGCTTTCCGGACAACATCGTCGGCGGGCCCTTCGGTGCTCCCGCGGATTGGCCGCAACCGCAGCGTGTCTTCACTCCGTTCGAGAGGGTTTACGCATCGACATCGACATCGTCACTCACGGATGGCCTGGCTTTAAAACCGTGGAGCGCCCTTGGATGCTTCAGTGGGCATGGAAACAGCTTAGGAATGCATCGTTCTAACGCTGTGTGCATCCTTGTGCAGGTTGGTTCCGTTCCATCACTACACGCTAAGAAAACTAACAACCATTGCCTTTTGCTGTTTCCGTGCCCAAGTGTTTTTTTCGCATTACTTCTGGAGTGTCTCGACGTTTTGAGGTCACTGTTATTACTCTCTGGCGACGTAGAGCTTAACCCCGGCCCCATGACTGTAGCTCAAGCGACGCAACTAGATGATGTATGCAAGCTGCTGCAAGACCTTAATGCTCGTGCCATAAAGTCACAGGAGGGGCAGAGCAGTTTAATAAAAACCGTGGAAGAAATAAAAAAAAACCAGCAATCCATTGAAGCAAAAATTAACGAATTTGGAAGTCGACTCCTCCTTGTTGAAAGTAAGATTTCTGCGCTTGAAATAGTCGACCACGACTTTCAAGAGATGCAGGGCGTCGCAGAAGCTTTGCAGAACAATAACGTTAACTTACTCGAGCGTCTTAATGAACTTGAAGATCGTTCAAGACGTGATAACCTCATTATTCATGGTCTTCCCGATGTTGCGTCAGAAACATGGGCGGAAAGTGAAACAAAAGTTCTCGAGCTTATTTCCCGTTCCTTTCAGCTCCAGGTTACCCCAGATTGCATTGAGCGCGCACATCGAATCGGCTCCTTCAATCCTACCAGATGTCGCCCGCTAGTTATAAAGTTTTCTTCCTTTAAGGTCAAGGACAAGGTACTTTTCTCGCGACTAAAATTAAAGGGAAGCACGACGTATATCACCGAAGATTTTTCTCCAGCTACTCGAATTGCCAGAAAAAAACTAATTGAATTTGGTAAAGCTACGAATTGCATATATCAGCTGCGGTATAACAAGCTGCATGTC